CTAGCGTGGCTCACAAGACTCACATAACCTTTAACCTATTCCTACCCTACTCTCATAATAAGTATGATCATCATAGCCCAACCACAAGGAAAAATCAAAGGGTAAGTTTGAATTCAAAAGAAACAACATAGTATAGAAGTATTAATCTAACTATACAACAACTTCAGCGTACCACATACATTTACAACTATTCAACACAACATGTGATCAATATACTAGTTCATTCAACAACACATGTAATCAACACAGTAGTTTACAAAACAACTATTTACAATACAACAACTTAAACAACTTTACAACATAACAATGCATGTCAACTTTTAACACACATCAACTTCACAACATATCAACACAACTATATAATGTGTCATCGCACATTTCAACTAAGAGATCTCTTACAACACATGTGAACAATCTAAGTGGTTTGACCCTACCAAACCAACATAATAATGCGGTCTTTTTTGGATTGCTAGATCAACAACAAATTTGGATAAAATTCCAACACAACATTCTTTCTCAAATTTTACCACTTACATTAGGAGAGTTCAATATTCTTATTAAGGAAAGGACAATTTGGGTGTGAACCTACCACAATCTTAGCATGCATAACTAAGCCTATATGGAATTAGCATGTAGATAAATAATAAGTAATTCATAAATAATATAAAGGGAACAATTTCTTTCCTGCAAAATTTTGTATAAAAAAACTGGTATAACTTTTAAGTATTCACATAATTTTACAATAAAATTAAAATCATATTAATTATATAACAACACATTAATAAATAGGATTGTAATGGTATCATAAAACATTAATTACAAAAATAATTAACTATAAATGAAAAACTTATGTAAATATATTTATATTAGGTTTTAATATATTTTAGGGAAAAAATCACATTATGGACAATTTTAAAATACAAATAATTTAAGTCATGAAAATTTTTAAATGAAATTAAAATTATATTAATTATATAATAACATGTTAATATAAAAAAAATTTATCGATACATAAAGTATAAATTTAAAATTAATAAATTATATTTATAATTAATTTATAAATAATAAATCACTCTATAAATAAAATAAAAGGAATAATTTCTTCCCTAAAAAACTTCCTTCCAAAATCTTCCACCAAAACAGCTCCTATAAGTCTGGAGTATTCTCATAATTTCACATGAAATTAAATTACATTAATTATATAATAACACATTTATAAATGAAAATTGTAACAGTATCACAAAACATTAAATTATAAAAATTAATTATTACATTAAAAATTTGTATAAATACATTTATATTAGTTTTTAATATATTTTAGCCAAAAAAAATTATGTTATATACAATTTAAAAATATAAATAATTTAATTCATTAATTTTTTGAATAAAAAAATAAATTATATTTATATAAAACATTAATATAGAAAATTTTATCGATATCATAAATTTAAATATTAATAATTATGTTAATTATTAATTTATAAAAAAAAATAAATCACATTAAAAAGTATTAATAATTTTTAATATGAATAATTTGACATAATATTAATATAAAAAATTGAAGTAAACTCAACTAGAAATAGGGATGACAATTGGCCCGTGTGGACATATAGTAAGGTACTTGTACTCATTCCCTCAATTAAAAATTTATCCCGTATCCATTCCATATCTGTATGAATATCCGTTAAGCGGGTACCCATAAATTTTAGGTTAAAAACTTGATTTGGTCCTTTATAATATTTTTTTGTTTCAATTTAGTTCCACTTTAATTTTTTATTTCAATTTGGTTCCTAATAATTTAAATTAGTGCAATGTCGAACTTCCGTCCAAATTATTTAAACGGAGTTAACTGTTGGCCACGTGGATGCCACGTAGATGCATAGGTGGATGCCAAATTTCTTTAATATATCTAGAACAAGAACGACCCGTTCTTGTTGCACTCTTGGTGTGTTAATTTTTCACCTGGAACGGGCCGTTCTAGATGCAAATTAAACACACCAATAGTGTAACCAGAACGAGCCGTTCTGGTTTTGGAACGGGCCATTCTGATTCCAGAATGCCAAACATAAACGGTCGATGATTATAATTTAAGCCCGTGATTCTAAATCACGATTGTGAATCTTGCAAGGAAAAAGACCCAAGGTACAAAACATTTGAAACACTGGATTTGGTAATATTGTCAATGAGGATTGATAACTTCAATTGCTAAACATTTGGGCTATGCAATGTATCATTAAGGACAATGCAGTGTATCACTAAGGATAACGGTGACAGGTTTTATTTCATTGTTAGTCAAACTGGAGTGAACCACTTACTACCAAATCGATACTATACAGTCAAGGATGAAACGACATGGTGTTTTCTCTTAAAGTCGTTGACCGATGTACCCCAACAACAACAACCTATTCTTGAGGAGGTACAACTTGAAGTAGAGGAAGAGGACACACTAGACCAACATTTCACCACACAACCACATGTACAGGTAGATAATGTTGATATCCTATCAGCCATTCAGTGTTATATGGTGGATAAGATGTATTATTGGCACCTTCAGCGTTATCCAGATGATTTCCCTTCTTAGTAATTTCTTTGAACTTTCTTAGTATATGTTATGTTATGAATTTTTGTTTTCAGTCTCTGAACCATATTTCTGTCTTTGAATTTATGTTATGTTATGAATTTTTATTTTCAATTTTTGAACCACATTGCGACATTTTTTTGAATGTACGTATGTAGTTGGCGTTCTGGAACAGCCCGTTCTAAATCCAAAATGGCCCGTTCTAAAACCAGAACGACCCGTTTTGATGCACTCGTGGTGTGTTAATTTTGCATCTGGAACGACCCGTTCCAAATGTAAAATTAACACACAACATGTGCAATCAGAACGGGTCGTTCTGGTTCCAGGTGCATTAAAGAAATTTGGCATCCGCCTATGCATCTATGTGGCATCCACGTGGCCAACAGTTAACTCCGTTTAAATAATTTGGACGGAAGTCTGACATTACACTAATTTAAATTATTAGGGACCAAATTAAAACAAAAAATTAAAGTGGGACTAAATTGAAACAAAAAAATATTATAAGGGACCAAATTAGGTTTTTAACCTAAATTTTATAAATATCTATGGGTATCTATGGATACTTATAAATTTTTTAAAATAAAATAAGAAAAATATTATAAATAGATTTTAGCTTATATTTGATATTAATTATATTAAAATATTACAGATAAATAATTGATATTAATTTTTAAACTTGAAATTAATAATATTTTTTAAATATTAAAAATAATATAAAAAAATATAAAATAAAAATATGAAAACTTAAATAATATTATTTAATGGATAACTATGAGTATGGATACTACCATATTCACCAGTATCCCGTAGGTATGGATAATTTTGTCATCCTTGATTAGAAATACTTGCATTACAAAAAAATAACTACAAAATAATATTAATATAAAAATGGTAATGGTATTATAAAATGTTAATGATATTATTTTAAATTATTGTAGTTTTAAAGTAAAGAAAATTATAAAATTTTGTTAAAATTTGACATAATGCTTAAAAATAACACATTAATAAAATTATTTTAAAAAAATTGAAAAAAAAAGCATTATCTTTACAACATAGCATTCAAACTTTTTCTCTAACAAATTTTTATATACAAATTTTATAAATTAAAATTAAAATTTTATTAATTATATGATATAATATAACATTAATTTAACAAACAGTAACAACATCATAAAATATTAATTACATTAATTTTAAATTATTGTAGTTTTAAAGTAAAATTAATTATAAAATACACATAAAAATATGAATTATTAAAATTGACATAATATTAAAAAATAATAACACATTATTAAAATTATAATTAAAAACTTTTCAATTTTTTAAAAAAAGTTACTTACATTTATGTAAAAAAAAAAATGGTATATATATTTTTTATTTACTTACATTTACATGAGCATATTTTGATTTTAACGTAATACATAATTGTATTATTTTTTTAAATTAAACAATAAAAAATATATCTAATAATATGTTATTGTTAAAATATACATATAAAAAAAATTCCATACAAGAGACGGATGAATCAACTAGTTTGAATAATCTAAGATAAGTTAGATTTGAATTTTTAAAATTTGGTATGCGGATAAAACTAAAAATCAAACCTAAAATCTTAAACATGTACAACAGGATGCTAAAAACTACATGATTTTCAATTAAGGTGACTCTACAACTTATGGGAACCAAGTCCGAATTCTGCAATATGATTAAAAATAAACAGCTAAGCTAAGACGGTCCTAAGCTAAGAGTCTAGATTTGCGTGGACGCAACCATTGATCGTTGGCGTAGCTACCACTCCCGCTAATTGTTTCTGGGTTCACCACCTCATTCCAATCTCCACCATGCAACGCATGCCTATTTTAGTATTCTAATTAATTCAACCCTCTTGCTTTATTATCTTTCCATTGGATCAGATAACGATGCCACCCTTTCCTTTCTTACTACCAAAAATAAATTAATAATCCTCTGCTCGCGAGTCCATGCTCCAACCTAGTCAGCATCCTCACCCAGTTCCCCTCTCTCTCTCTCTCTCTCTCCTAATATATATCCATCACACGGCTCACATTCGCTATCGACCTGGTCTTCACCCCTCATCCGAACACGTGTACACCACTCAACCCTGTGATCCTCTCATTCTTTAATATCAATTTATCGCTTCTCTCGCCACTACCCAAATTCTCGTGGCCCCCCTCCTCCCAACCACATGATGCTGACGAAATTCAGCACGTTCCGAGATTCCTCTCCATCTCCAATTCCAATTCAAAATCTCACCGACGATACCGCGACCAATTTCTCGCGTCTTTTTCATCACATTTACGACATGTCATAATACAAAAAAAAAAAAAAAAAACAGAAAAATTCGACTTCCTCCGCTCATACGGGACACCTATAAATTAACTTCCCCCACACCTCTTTCACTTGAACCCACCAAAACGACACCAATTTTCTCTCTCTCTTCCTCCAATCATGGCGTTTAAGAAAACCCTAGCACAACGCCTCCTCAACATCACCAAAATCTCCACCAACTACCGCATTTCCGCTTCCTCCTCGCTCCGTTCTCCGATTCCGACGAAGCCCGACATTGCGCCGGATCCCGGAGACGGCGGAATCTTCCGCCGGTTCCTCCACAAGAGGGCGGTGTTTCGGCCGGAGCTCCGGCCGCCGGCTACCGATGACCTCCTCCAGAGGCTCCGCGAGATGGACATTGCTCGGAGCCGAATCCGATTGGACGGTCTCGCTCCGCCGGAGAGCGGAGGCGTGGCGGTGGAAGACGTGAGGAAGGTGCTGCGAGCGGCGCAAATCGAAGCGGTGAAATCGAAGCTGCGGAGGATTCCGCAGAGTTGCATAACGTATTCGGAGTTGGTTCGTCTGTGCAGTGAGAACTGTTCCGATGAGGATCAAGCGATGAACGTTGCGAAGATGCTCGACGATTCAGCGTCTGTGATTATAATAGGAGACGTCGTGTTCCTCAGACCTGAACAGGTTAATTTCTTTTCCTCTTTTTTTTTTTTAATTTTTTATTTTATTTTCAGTTTTAAATCTTAATTAAAATTATTGTTCTTCTATTGTTGTGTTGGGATGTTGTGTTTTAATGCGTGAGATGATACAGAGAGGGTGACGGTGGAGAATAAGATGTTAAGATCCCAGATAGGTTTCTGTTTCTGGCTTTCTATCGACCGGCGTATAAATTAATGAATTTAATTTAATTTAATTAATGTTAGGAAGTGTTTGTTTGTTTTGGAGGCCGAGAACTGATAAGGTTTTGTGGTGATTTGTTTTGTTTTTCCACAGGAATTTGAAAGTTTGTTGTTTGCAAACGTGTTAAGGATTCTACCTTTGAGATGGTAAATTTTGGGCTTTTTAATGGACCCGCAGAAAGCCCTTCTGCTTTCATACTCTCCTCCTTCTCCTCCTTTGGGGGATTTTTTTTTATAAAATCTTTTGCCTTTTTACTAATACAAAGGACGGTGCCTTTGATTTTCTATTTGGAATCTGTAAATTATAATTTGGATACAAATCTAAACTATAATTTTAAGATTTCAGAATACGTAATCAATTTGGCACCGTAATAGAAAGCGAGATTGGCCTGATTAGTCTATTGGGACCCAATCCCGTTGAAGGAGAGAAATTTTACCCTTTTACCATTTATTTATTTATAGAAGAAAAATACTTAATTTTTAGTTAGTGAATATATAAAAATATCTTTTATTATTACTGTTAGAAGAAAGAGAAAAAAGAGAGAGAGATAGAGAGACTCTGCAGCTTTCTACATTATTTTAAAATAAAATATATAATGAAAAGGAGAGAAATAGAAAGTTGAATATAAAGTAAAGATGTGCTCTTAATTCTATAATAATTAAAGGGAAAATATAAATTAAAAAGTGAAAATTAAAATGAAGTATTGTTTTTTAGTTTTCCAGATTATTCAAGTTAATTATACATTAATTTGCACTATTTATATTTAAACTATTTTTGTTAAAATGTTTTATAGATGCCAGTTGTACATAAATTCTGACATCTGTAAACACAATGTTTCCTGGAGATATGTCTTTTGTTAGAAAAAAAAAAAAGTTTAAAATTGGTGGAAGAGATTACAGGCTGGCAGGATAGAATGCAGTCTCAACAACCATTTAATTTCATGATTAAAGTAATTAAAGATTTTGTCTTTCTTATATATAAATTATATATGAAATCCAATGTTATCTTAAAGTTTAAAATATTGAATGATTATAGGAATGAAATGTAATAATAATTGCTGGTGAGCATAACATAATATTTATTAGTAGGGTCTTGAATAATTTTTTATAGATATCCCTAGTATAGATGATAATAATAAACGATTTAACAACCTACATACATGAAAAGGATAAATACTAAAACAATTTCCATTTTATAGAGACTGAGGTCTGATATGTGCCATGTGTTATTAAACTTAATTTTGAAAAAAAATTGAAATGATTACACAATTATTTTTGTTTTCATTGTAGAATTTTCAATTACAAAATGGTTTTGTAAATATAAAAATTGAATACTAAAGGAAGTTAAGATTAAACTACTACGTATATCAGATTTTAGATGGCAATTAATCTTTCGGTGGGATAAAAGTAATATATTATGCTATTAAGTATTAACTATGTTTTTGTATGGTTCTATGTCGAGAGACGGTGGTTTATGGGGAAAGCCGTGTTTTTTTTTTTTTTTTTTTTGCGGTTCAAGTGGGTAGGCAGCTTTTCATAGATTTTAGAAATTTGGAATGTTAACAGTTACAAATTAATTTATGTCATCAGCAAAAATTTAGATAGCATTAAAATTAACTTATATATTTACCTTGGGATAAAAATAACATGCATTATGCCATTTTTTTTTTTGCTGAATATGCAGTATGCCAAGTAGCAACCTGTGTTGCATTATCTGTCTGATGTATCAGAAAAAAAGCAACCCGTGTTTGCATTGTTCTTTTGTCTTTTATTTCAATAAATGGGCGGTGGATAGTTGAAAAAGTCAGACTTATTTCGCGGTGCAAGTGGGTAGGGAGCTTTCATATTGGTTAGAAATTTGGGATGTTGACAAGCCATTAAAAATCAACTTATGTCATCAGGAAATTACAATAACATAAAAGTAACCTTTAAAGTGCTAAATAATACTTTTATTAAATGTTTTAGATCTTTATAAAGATGTTGATAATAGTTTCTAAAATAGGACAAACTTTATAGTTAGTATCATGCTATTCTTTTAGTTGTGATGTAATTAAATTTGGAGGTGTTAGACTATTAAAATTACAGCATCACTAATGAACAATTATGAATAGTTGTGAAAATAAAACTTTAGTTTTTATGTTTTATAAGATATTGATTATGCAGCATGTAATATTCTTATTAAATGTTTACATTTTCATTTATTTTTAACTTTTTAATTTGTTTCACCAGAATACTTGTTAATAAATCTTTTCTAGTTCTTCGGTTTAGTGAATCACAGTCCAAAATTTCATTGGAATGAGTGTAGTGAATCACAGTTCAAAATTTCATTGGAATGCGTGTTTATATTTATCTTGTGTCTCCAACAGAACTGCCTCTAAAAAAAATGAATAACTGTTAAAAAGTAAATACAAATAAACAAATAACAAGTTGCTCTTTTCTTTTGGGTGAAAAAGAATATGTCACTTCAATCTTTAGTTTTCGAATCTTTTGGGACACTGAATCGAATATTCCCATGTCCATTCCTGTAATATTTTTGTGACTGAAGTACAAGATATCTCCACTTGCGAACCCCGTGAAATTCATGTTCATAAAAAATGGGACTCGTGAAAAGAAGGATTTATATTTTCTTCATTAATTTCAATCCTAAAATATAAATTGAGCCTATTTTTTTTACCAAAACTATGAAACATGTGTTACAGGTAGCAAAAACCATCCAGGCTCTGTTCCCTATTCCAGGATCGAAGGTGCACGAGTCAGTAAGAAAGGAACTGGAAGAAATGGAGAAAAAGAAAACAACAATCGACAACAAAGCCAGCAAGTTGGTTCGACGAGAGCTCTGGGCCGGGTTAGGCTTCCTAATGGTGCAAACCGTAGCGTTCATGAGGCTCACATTTTGGGAGCTATCGTGGGACGTTATGGAACCCATTTGCTTCTACGTGACCTCGATGTACTTCATGGCTGGCTACACCTTCTTCCTCAGAACCTCCAAAGAGCCTTGCTTTGAAGGCTTCTACCAAAGCCGTTTCAGCACCCACCAGAAGCGTCTTATGAAGCTTCACAATTTTGACATCGCAAGGTACAATGAACTCAGGGCCTCTGCACCACCCTTGCCACCTTCGCCCGAATTCGATTCATCCAATATGGGTCACATATTGGACCAATTTCACACTAAATTGTAGTGTTGATCGTACATCAATCACTAATATTCTCATTCCGTAGAATAGTGACTAGATTATAATATCACAAATATCACCCCTTCTTCCCATTGCCCACATCATATTTTAGGGAACCATCCACCATACTCCATGCACCTTTTTTCTGATAACACTCAAAAACCATAGATAAAAAAAAAAATATAGTTTATGATTGCGGTGAGTTAGAATTAGGCGCGGCTTGGTGTACAATATATGCAGAGTGGTAATTTCAATTTTGTTTCTCCTTTTCCTTTTAAGGGACAACTTGGTATTACATAAAGGTTCACACAATGAGCGTGATTTTAAGGTGAAATAGAAGAAAAATAACATTAAATTTTAAGAAACAAATGTAAAATTGCATGTCAAGTTAAAAAACAGTGACAACGATGATCTAAATTTAGGCTGAAAATTTAATCTATAGAGAAAGTTAAAGTATGACACATAATATTATTTAAAGGATTGTTATTAATTGGTAAGTTTCTTAACGCTACAAAATATGAGAGCAAATACAGATTTATAGCCTGTAGATTAAATTGGGGTAACTTTAGAAATAAATTATTAAAATGGAATTATTTTAAAATATTTTATTAAAGTGGGATTATTTTTGTTACACTATATAAAATTTGATATGTAGCAATCTTCAATTCTACATGACTTATTTTAGAAAAAGATAGATTCCATTTCATGTGCCTTGTTAGGCAGGAATTACTAGTGGTCCACTTGACACGTTATGAAAGAGCTGAGTGGAATAGAGTTTGTTACTTTGTTATGTGACATGTATTGTGAAATGCAGTATGTGGTGATTTTTCCGAAAGAAAATTAAAATAGTATAAATAATTAAGATAGTATAATAAATTAAAATAAATAAAATTTATTTAATAAATATGAAAATTAAATAAAATTTTAAAATAAATTTACTAAATATTAGTCCAAATAAATATTTAAATAAAATAATAAATGAAATATCATTTAGAAGAAATAAATAAACTACTACATATGAAATATTAAATATATTAATCATAAAAATAAATAAATATTATTAAACAAATTAAAATTAAAATAAATAAAATCAACATTCAAATATCATACATCCACCAAATACAAGTCATCATAAACGAATGACCAATTAGAACTATAGTTAATGTAATTATCCATACTGTCGAAATTTTCACAAACCTTCAATACCACTCAAAAATCGTCAAAAGAGGTCAATGGCATAGATTTTAGTTATGTATTGAAATGGGTCACCAACTTCATTCCTAATGCACGTTTCATTGGTCAGTCTGTTATTAAAATTGGTCACCAACTATGAAAATATAAAAATAAAAATATACTTGACACTAATTTTCATTCCTCAATTTATCACACTATTTTTACAATTTGGTAAAATATAATAAATCGATACATATCACATCAACTAAAATTGATATTATTAGTATGCAAAATTATATCAATTTAGTTAATAAAGATACCTTAAGAAGATCAAAGTAAAACATTTTTTAACCTTAAAAGAACTAAACTAAAAATTATTTTAGTCTATTAAAAATATCTAATTTAAATAGTCAAAAGTATGAGGATTAAAAGAGCATGTATTAATTTTTAATTATGAATTGACTTCTTTTGTTATATTGAAAGTATTGAAATTATTTATTAATATATACAATTATATATATATATATATAATATAATAATGAGACATTGGTTTGAATAGATTTAGATTCAAAACAAAGATTTGTATTTGATTTTTATAAATAAAAAAAATATAATTGAAAGGAGAAATTCATTATAGAAAGGTTATAGTCACTCATATGCTTAATAGATATTAGTCATCAATACAAATATATGCATTGTCTTTTACACCATTATTTGATTACAATCTGCTATATGGGTGGGGGTAAGTTTGGTGATGCATGTTTTCGATATTTATTTTAAAAGTGATGTTAATTATATACAGAAAATAATTAACATAAAGTATTTTCGAAGTAACTGTTTAAAAATGTAAAACCTTTTATCCTGAAAATTCGTAAAATTAAGCCTACAATCTAGATCCATCCATGGAGATGTTGGGTGAGGGTGTCCAGGATGAAGCCACCCACAGCAAGATGCATGGGAAGAGTAGTATGACAACACTTTTGTCTGTTTCCTTAACATTTTTGGAAAATAATCTGTAGTAAGAGAATATTCTTGAGAAACTTTCAGAAGAAAAAAAAACATGAAAGGAGAATATATTTCCCCGAGTTTGGATTAGGATTAGGATTAAGTTAATTTTTGTCCAATTATTAAATTATTTTATAATTAATATTAATTTTGGAGTTTCAAAGCTGCAAAGGTGCTGGACGGAATACTAAAATATAATTAATCTTGTACACTGTATTTTTGCGGTAATATTTTTATTCTCCAATTTATACACTTAATACACACTAAATTAGACTAATAATTAGGTGGGAAGGGTTGAGATAGTTAGAAACACGAAGATTTAGGTTCAATTTTTACTGCGACTATTTTTATAATCTTTCGTATCTTAAAAAAAAAAAAAAAAAACCACTAAACACCTATCAAGAATGAAGTATCAACTTACATATAAAATGCATAACCGGGGAAGGTAGTTTCTGGAAAGGCCTACTAATTGTCCTCTCGAACTTTCTGGAGACGGGTTTTGTTGCAATTAAGGCACTTCCATCTCAAATGTGCGATCCAAAATGCGAGGGAGCACTTATACTTAAAACTAATGCAAATCCATGTCCAATCACCAACGTTGAATCACATTCACAACAATTATATATACCTTTTCTTATTCTTGCATCCCTTTCGGCACCAAAATATTATTAAATCAATTGCTAATTGATATTTTTTTTATTTAAAATTTGTTTAATGTATAATTGTAAATTAATATAATGAACATAATTTATTTAGACTTTGAACGCATGGAATATCTTGATTCCATCAATAATTCTAGTACTAGTTGTTTGAACTCGACGATTGACATCGAGGGAAATAACAGAGAAACCTACACGAAACAACTCGATCACGTAGTAGCATTTAGGTCAACATCAATTTCGCCGCAGAAATCAAACTCTAACCATACGTTGAATTGAACTCTAGCCATGATTTGAATGGGATGCAACGACGTGAGTTTTGCATTAAAAGCGTGTTTTTAGATTATTTTACATTGTGCCAAAATAGTGTACAATTCAAATGTTACTTTAGATGGTCTTTGGATTTTTCTCCTAAGGCTAAAGTGACGTTTACGTGTTTTAATTTCATCCACCCTTAATTTTATTAGTTTAACATTTATATTTTTTAATTAAAGACTAAGCTTCAATTCTTACTTTAGACATAAAATGTAATTGAAAGGTATTACCTTATTCTCATAAGGATCAATCTAGTAAAAATAAGTTATATCTCTTTATATAAAGAAAGTGGTTTCAATTTGAATCAAGCATAAAATCTTCAAGTTTTCCATTATTTGTTTTTAAATCAGTATCCATTATGTTGGGAAAGTTAGTTAATTTGGGATACACAAAAAAACTAATAAACCTCGGGTAAAATGCATAACACAAAAGTACCATATTCATGGAGATTAATCATGAGTTTGTATATTTTGAGATATTTGTTTAAATGTTTTCAAAAATTAAAAGTCTATTTAATTGTGTTTTATGAGATATCTATTGATGTGTTAATTTTGTACCTGGAAAGGTCCGTTTCAGGTACAAAATTAATACACCAAGAGTGCAACCAGAACGGGCCGTTCTGATTTCAGATGCATTAAAGAAATTTGACATCCACCTATGCATCTACGTGGCATCCACGTGACCAACAGTTAATTCTGTTTAAATAATTTGGACGGAAGTCCGACATTGCACTAATTTAAATTATTAGGGACTAAATTGAAACAAAAAATTAAAGTGAAACTAAATTGAAAAAAAAATATTATAAAGGAAGTTTTTAACCAAAATCAAATGACCTAAAGATCTCTCTTTTAATCATTGTTCTTTGAGGATAAAACTTCTAACAGATATAACTGAACAAGTGAAGATGTAGATGCCCTTTCTCAGGAAATCATATGGCTTATGAGATTACCATAACTACTCTCTCGCTCGCTAATAATGATGTTGGGTTGTTGTATTTTTGTATTTTGTATTTTTATAATTTGCTTTTTTGTGTGTTCTTATTCATATACTGGATTTGGAGGACACCCTTGTTAACTCATAACAATGGTCGATGCCTAGACGTCTTTTGTATTTATATAATTTTATACTAATTTTTCAATTAATTTTTTCAAAATAATTACAGGAATTTAAACAATTGTATAAACTAAATAGGTTTTTATCCCTTCTTGCTATTAGGCCTTAACAAAAATAATTATATGGCCCAGATTAACTTGTTGGAAACATGATTTAAAATTATAAAAAAATGTATTTTAGGCAAAAACAAATGGAAGAGGCCCATAGAGGCCGTAACTCAATTGAATCCATATGCTCGAGCCGAAACTTGCCAAACCCAAAACCGACCCAAATCAAAGGCATGGACAAGTCCAAGGAGGGGCAAGCAGGGCCTCCTGGCCTAGCTCCCTTCCTCTTGACTCTTTAGAAACTTTTTTATATTTATTATATTAAACATATGATTATATTAAAAGATTGATTACAAAATGATATATATTATATATTGTTAATGAATTTAGTATTTAAAAGAATGAAATTTATTATAACACTTCTTATAATTAATGTCTCAATAGCTCCATTTAGGGATGAAAATAAGATAGATCAGATCAGACTTTGAATATATAGACTGAGTTTATTCTACAAAATGAAAGTTTAAATCTGACCTATTATCTATCATAATTTTTTTTATAAGTATGACTTGACATTTTTAAAGTCTGGTCTGACTTATTAATCTATTTAAAAGTCTATTTAAATTATTAATGTTAATTAAAATTTTAAAAGTCCATAAAATTATTTTAAAAATATAGTTTACTCAATATTATTAAAAGTTAAATTTTAAAAGAAATATAAGATAAAAATTGAATCATTTTCTATTGAAGAGACAATTCATATATAATCATGTATGTTGATGTACACACATACACATGTCATAAATTTATAAACCTATAATGTAAAAAAATAATTTTATAAAAAATATTTTAAATATTGATAATATATTTTTATTTTATAAATTTATTTATTTATTTATATTTTTAATAATATATTATTATATTTATATAAATAAATAGACTAACTTATAAGGCCTAATATACTTT